AGAAAAATGGAATAGTGTAGTAGCCATATCATATGGCGTATCTACCCATGAAAAATAAATAATTTTGCGCCATTTAAAATGGTTAATGTAAAATAAGAAATTAAAAAAAAAATAATAAAAACACTTAGAGGCCATATGAAATGTCATTTTTTAAATAAAAAAAATTATAAAACACTTAGGTGCCATATGAAATGGCTTTTTTTAAAATAAATAAAATTAAATTAAATTAACTAAGACGCCATATGAAATGACTTTTTAAAAAAAAATTAAAATTAACTAAGGCGCCATATCATATGGCGCCTCTATGAAATGGCTTTTTTTAAGTTTTATTAATGCGCACTATGAAATGGTTTTTTTAAAGTTTTATTAATGCGCAATATATATAATATGGCGTAATTGATATGTATGAGTCATAACAAATAGCGCATATACTTATTTTAAGTGTATACGTCATTTTAAACGGCGCCTCCTATTTGTCGTTTTTTGAAAATAGGTTATTTTGATAATTATTTCAAAAAAAATATTATTTTAGTATTACTTTTGAAAAAGTAGGTTATATTAAAAAAAAATCACTTGTTGATATCAATATATGCACTAGATTCTTGTTGTGGTTGGTATGCATAGAAACTCCATTTACATATTTAGAAAAATTAAGAAAATAAAAAATAGATAAAAATAACTTGAGAAGTACTCCGATTATTTATAAGAAAAAGTTTATTTTTTAAATTTATTTAATAAATAATATATCTAGACAAAATATAGATCAGATATATTAGTTATTGAATGAATTTAAAAAGTAAATTTTTTCTTATAAATAGGACTAGAGGTAGTAATATGTTTAAAAAGTAATTTTTTTCTTATAAATAAGATTAGAGGTGGTAATATGTTTTGGCGATAAATAATTAGCTTGCTGTCCTAGAGGTAGAGGTGGACAAACAGTCACAAAGCTCCATTTGAGGTAGGTACACATAAAGCAAAAAAGGAACTGTTTAGATTTTTGTTGTTGAAATTTAATTTTGCCTTTCTATTACCATTAGTATTCTCAAACTCTTATCTTTGTCTTCAATTCTAAAGTTATGAAGGTTGTGAAGACAAGAATGATAGAAATACATATTTATAAATGTTTGAATCCAATAGATTCATAGCAAGCCCAAAATATAATCATTAACGACCAGATCCATGAGCCAAAACAATGAATGCCAATACACACGAACCGAGAACACCATAAAGGATAAACCCAATTTGTCGAATACTGACCCACATTATCGCTCGATTGAGTCGGCTTTGTCAACTACTAGGTTGATTTCTCGTTTCAGCAATCTCAAAACATGTTTCCTTTCTCTTTATCCCTTAAGTTTTTAAGGCATACTTTAACAATATTCACATTGACATGAAATCGTGATGATGTTAATTTACCCATCAACCACTTTGTTGTTCTTTTCTAATTCAACATCTATTGAACAATTTTTATCAAGTTCATTTCTCGCTTGAACATTGATCTTACCACTTGCATCCACTTGCTTCTAACCACCTTTTTATGTTTCATTAGTCTAACAAACCCACATGTATGGTTTTCAACCATATTTGACTCCACTGGTTTTTTAATGTCTCCCTGAAGACCCTTATTTCTGAATTTTATAACCATTCAGCCACATTCAAAGCATAAGGCTTTCATAATTTTTCTTTTGAGATGGTACATTCCTCCTCCTTATTTTATCACGTGTCAAATGATAATCAGATGCATCTATAATCATTTCCCCGCTACTACTAGTATACATAGTAGTAACTTGCACCTTAAAATGAGTCTTATATGCCACAGTTTATAAAATTTTCATACCCGTGTATTTACTCTTCTTCTCCTAGTATGACTCACTAAAAGTAATACATATGTGATTTGTGAACTTCAGTCCTCCAGGTTCCATTCCCAAAAGCTAATAACCCTTCTTACTTGGATAGCCATTGAAGATATAATTCATAATTTTTCCATCAAATTGAATTGGTTTGATTTAATCAATAAAAAAATTTAAATGACCTTTAAAATATAGTAGGTTACAGTCTTTCTACTCCAAACATCTATAAGAGTTTAAAATTTTATTTCTGTAAATGAATATTTTTCGATCAGGTAAGTAAGTGGTTTTAGCGTCATCCTTACCTAAAAAAACTCCACGACAACTCAAAGGTCAAATACATTTTTATCCATTGTCTTTTGCAAAATTTATTAAAATGCTCTGAAAGAACCTTCAAACATCCACCATATTTTGACCTCAAATTTCATATCTTATTCTTTTCATAAAAACCTTCACTAGTTGATGATGAAAAAACAACAATACTAAAACCTTTTAAAATATATAAGTCATGTATTTTAGAGCCTTTAACTATAAGACTAACTATACCATATCATAAGACTAACTATAATTATCTCACACATATAACTTGTATTTTAAGACTTCCATTATCTGTCTCTATAACTTAAAATAATAAAACGCATTTTATTCTTTAGGAGACCAAGTAAAAACAAACCTAAAAGTCTGCTGGTTGAATTTAATAGTTGCCGAAACGTGCTAAACCTCTAGGGAGGCCAATCTCTTTTATTTATTTAGATCCGTGGCATATATGTATTGTTATTTTATTTTGAGTCGAAATGTGTTTGTAATGCCAACAACCTTTACGTAGCAAGCTAGATGAATAATTCAAACAAGATCAATTTGAGCAAAATAAATTATCCACAATTGACTTAATCAAACTAGATCAACTCCTAATACATCAAGTTTAAAAACGAGATGAGAGAAACAGAACCATATGGGTTATGGCCTCTAGAATTGAAAATGATAAACAATCTCTGTTATACTTGGAGAACTTGACACTCCCCACAGTAAGTTTACTAATACTATATTTTATCTTCAATTTTTTCTCTATTTTCTTCTCCCCTTCTTTTCAACTAAAATCTTTTAGAAATCATGCAGACAGACAATTGTTGTAATTCTTACCATAACGAGTTTATTGTGTTTTAAGTTCAATGTTTTAATTTATTTTGTAATGTGTTTTTTTGGTAAACAGATTCAAGTTGTGGTAATAGCAGCAAATATGGGGTGTAATGGTTGTCAAGAAAGAGTTTCCAGAGTTCTATCAAAAATTACTGGTGAGGTTCCCAACTTTACTTTTGTTTTGTCTTTTAAGTAGTTAAAAGTTGTGGCCTTATTCGTTTAAATAACCAAAATCTGATTGTAGATTCTTTTTAAGTGGCCTAATTTATAATAGATAGATAATATAAGCTTATAATCATTCCGCCAATCGGTATTGCAATATATAAAGTATATAAATAGATTATTGCACTAAAGTAAGGTAGACCATACAGACAATAGATTCGTGAATTTAGCTTGTATTCTCAAGGTTCAAATCTTTAATTAAGACTCATAATCTTATCGAATCACTTTGAGGTGTATCACAAGATTTGGTTAATTTGTTAAAAAAGTAGGTTATTTTTGAGGATTTAATCGGCACTCCCTACTTATATCTGCCATTCCACATATTTTATTAGTTTTAAAATTGTTCTAAAATAAAATTGGATCAAAATATGCAAACAAAATTTTTGATAGTTTAATGAGAATTTTCAATAACATTTCAAATTTTCAATAATGTATTTTTAAAAGTCCGGTATGAATTTTTCATCGATTTTTAAAAAATAAATTTAACATACCAGACTTTTAAAAAAATTATATACCTCTAAAATTTTCTGAATTTTTTAAAAAATCAATAGTTCATATTCAATAAGCTAAAAATAATACCACTATCAAAATTTTCAAAAATTATTATAGTTTATCAAATTTTAAAAAAAAATCTGATAGTATTAATTTTTTTTTTAATATGAACTATCAGTAATTTTCAAAAATCTGAAAAACTACACCTGCCGTTTACAAAATTCTAGAAAACTACACCTGATTTTTTGAAATATCCAATATCTTCAAATATTTACCAGAAATATGTGATCTTTTACCATATCCTTATTATCATAAAAAATGTATAGTCAACAGTACTTCATATCCTTATTATCAACAGTACAAACATTAGTATTAAAGATACCAAGATTTGTTTACTTGAAACATTAAAATACTTTTGATTGAATAAATTAGTACGGTTCTGAATCTCGAGACTAAGGGATCAAAAACTCCTATTAAACCTGTTTTCTATAATTAAACCACCATGCATTAATTAGCACTTCCTCCGCCAGTTTAATTTTTGGTAAACTAACTAACATCATGTCACAATTAAAAATGCAGGGTTGACAGAGTACACAATAGATGTACGCAAGAATGAAGTAACTGTTAAGGGAGATTTCATGGTAAGTTGCGACTTCCAGAAAAAACCCTTTAGAAACAGCACCCTGAAGAGTGCAATCAATCAACCCAAGTCATTGTTTGCCTGTTTAACTCAATTTGACAAACATAAATGTAACAGAAAGTAGATCCTAGCAGATACGGGATTCAAATTATAAGGTTCAATTTGTTCTTTCTTAATAGCATATTGCAATGCAAGACTAAACTAAGTGCATGGAATACAAAGAGGCTGCCAAACTAGAATATATCAACGGGCACAGTACATGAGCTACAGACATAAAGATGAAAGGAAGCAATACCAGCCACAATCAAAGACAAAAGTTACAGAAAGAAACAGCCAGAGAGAGAGCCCTGAAGATTTATGTTATTTGTGGTTGTGTTGACAACTTGATATTACCAGATAGCTAGATGAACCACAAAAGAAACGATAAACTTTTCCTCTTAAGTTACAAAAAGAATGCATGTCACCCAAAGCATGAGTCAGTTCACATTAAGAGTAACCCCTAAAGTTTTCTACTTTCAAATGTTCTCCACCCAAAAATACAAGGAATAATAAAAAAGAAAAACCAACACCTGATTAATTGATCTACTTTAACTTTCATCACAATTGCTTGAATAGTCAGGAACAAAGTAAAAATCTATGGTGAAACCAAATCACGCAAATCCTTAGGTCTTCTTCATGAGATACCCCATGATTATGCCAAGTAAGCCGATTAATATGACAAAGATAAATGACACTCCACCACGATTTTTGTTGCCTTCACGTTTCAGCAGCTCCTACAAGTAATAAACGTATTCGTTCAACAAGTGTTTCACGTGAATCACGCCCATAAATAATATCGAAAGAACTGGTTGATTTGATGGCAGTAGCAGAACTAATCTCAACATAAAGTGACGAAACGAAAGTATATATAGAATATGTATGGTGAATCCTCACCAGTTCCTGGCGAAGCTTGCTAATTTGTTGAATTGCATTATTCTTTTCTTCAGTCAGCCGTGAGATAAGAGCTCTTGCCTGCATTAAAGCAAATGTAATCAGAACACAGTTGTCATACTCTACTGACTCTAAATTACAGGCACAGTAAAATTACAGCATGTGAACCAAAAAGAAAACAGATAACTACAATTATTTTTCTTTTGATTTCCATTTCAGTTTTCCTGCTAATCTATTATCGATAAAAATCATAAATCAAGTAAACAATCCTTGTGGATATTTAAACAATGAAACTATCCATCAGCTTTTATCTCAAAGGAAAACATAAAATGCTTCAATATGTATTGGGCTATTTAAAATGTAAATTTTTTTTTTAAATAGTCCCCAAATAGAACTAAAATCACTGAATCCACCCTATTTTAATAGAATGTAAAGATTACAAAGGGATAAAGTCCAAGTAAATAATAATTTCAAAAAGCATCTTTATAGGAACTAAAACCATGATTAGGAAAATCACTAGATACAATTATGGACCCTATTTTAATAGAATGTAAAGATTACAAAGGGATAAAGTCCAAATAAAGAATAATTTCAAAAGGCATCTTTATAAGAACTAAAACCATGATTAGGAAAATCACTAGACACAAGTATGGAAAAAAAATTATACCAACTTGGAGAAAGTGCCTTTTAGAGTTGGGAGCAAAAAGATATCAAAAGCATCTAGAGGGTATTTCACAAACCTTATGTAGATTGCAAATAAAATTTTAAAATTCATATTTGAAAGTTGGACAATTATGCTTTTTCTCGTGCTATGGGTACGTACAGTCATACACAACTAGAATACAGGCAGCAACTGAAAGCACAAGAAACCTGTATACATTCTAAAGCTATATGAATTGGGTTACTAAATATCCACTATATCACTTTAATCCCAACAAATTTCTTTTTTCCTTAAAGCTGTCTCTTTGCACAAGTAATCTAAGTTGACAAGAGTATCATCTATATTCTTTCATATACTACGATTTGCTTGGAGAGTTCAAAAACAATCAACTACGAATTACTTGGAGAGTTCAAAAAACAATAAAAACTCTGAATAGATTCAAATGGGGGAAAAGAAAAGGGACAATTCGAAACTGTAAACAATTTACTGAGGCAATAACAATGAGTTTTTGACAGATCAAGAATCAAGAAACTATTTACTACTATCATCTGAATAGAGACAGTGTGTTTATAAAATCCCAGAACCATTGGCTAAAAGATCCTTACAAAAAATATTGCAAAATGTTGGTATGTCATTGAATCCTTCATCTCCCCTTTGTTTTAACCAAACATATCAGAAGGCATATGTAGGAGAAATAGAAGGAAAGCAAAGGATCCCAGAGTAAGACAGTTATAAAGCTTAACAGAACAACTAATCAACAGTTAGTTGTGATAGTTAGCAGGGAAGTGAATTAAATGAGATGAGGGAGTAGAGAAGGCATTCAGTGTAAATGTTGTTGTGGGATACTGGTTTCTGGAATACTACAGTTTGTGCCGTTCACACTGTTAGCTATGGTAATTGGAGGAACAGGAATTAAAAGGAGTACTTTCTTTTCAAATACCAAGGGTTGCACTGTTTGAAGTTCGTTGTGACTTGTGATAGATAGTAGGGTGAGCATTAAAAGAACATGACCGAGAAAGAGAAGACATCAAGTGTGATCATTATTATGGAAGAGTTGCAGTCTCTTGAATGCTAAGGGTTGTACTGTTCATTGTAACTTCTATCCTAACCTAGTTCAGTTGCGCACCCACCGATACTGAAATCGGGTATTACATAATAGGAACACAGAAATAACAGTATACATAAATTGAAGAAAACTTAGTAATGAACAAGAAGTGTGTAATAATAGATAATTGAAGAAATTACAGAGGAATGAGTATAGCTACTGCTTAGAGCTAAGCTCCTTTAAGAGAACAAAATGATCACTGCCCATAACCAAGTTATTGTATTTGACAGAAGTACTTAATACAACTCAATCATGTAAAATATTGAACAAGAAAGTAAGTTATATTATATTCATTCCTACAAAATTCATGTGTATATTCAATGGTAGCAATATACAGAAGTCAATTAGTTCAGCTGGTAACCAAAAATTAACATGCACTATAACAAACAACAAATACATAAAACAGATGTTGTTTTACTATACCTCTGCAGATTTGTCTTGAGCCTCAGGTCGTTCAGCAAATCCTCGTGTTACCTGAAATATCCCAAAAAGAAAAGACATCTCAATTGATATCCTTGGATGGAAAAAGGTAGGTTCATTTAAAACAGGATAAGTTAGGAACCAACTTGAGCGAAATCAGGACCATTGGCATTTCCATTTTCTGAAACAGAACCTCTAGGTGACGACCCTTCCTCAGAACCTTCTGGGACTGGAGATGGCGGTTGAGGCGGAGACACATACACCACTCTCAATTTGCTCTCATCAACCACATGCCCTGCCTCCTTGTTGAACTAAGCAATCCCGATGGCACAAATCTTGTAACTTCACACATCGTAATCGTAAACAGAAATTAAACGAAAATGCAACAGCAACTAGCATGTTAATCATACCATTTCTGCAGAGATATCTTTCGCACTAACACCATCGTTGGTTTTTACACTCTGAAGAAGAAACTTATCCTTACATTGCATATCAGCTGGAGCTTCTTTTTGAGCTTGCATGGTAACTACACAAAAACAAAGAAAAAAACATGACCTATGTATCGATAGACATTAAAACATTAGCCAAAAAAACCTGAATAATCATAGTATGATAGTAGTACCCATAACATCGCAGGTAGATCTTGGCAAGACAATTCCAGTGTTCGGACGAACACAATACTTCTTCGGATTCGTTGTTTTCACCTAAAAACAAAATCAAAACACAACAAATAAACACGATATTTTGCATTTTCACCGCCCCAAAAAAAAAACAAGTTGAAATCACGTTAACTTAGCAACACTTTTTCTACAACAGATCTTACAAAAAGAACTAAAACTAAAACCTACAACCAAACCGTTCTCAAAATTAACGGAAAAAACCAGAAGCGAAATTGTTGTTACCTTGAATGCTACATAGCTATCAGTCTTGTTAGACAATTGAAGAGAACACGAGATCTGCTTCTTCAGCTCAACTACAACAGAAATCAAAATCAAAATCAAAATCAAAATGAGCAGTTCAAATTTGAAACCCTAGCCTAGAGAGAGAGAAAGAGAGAGATAGATCGAAGGAGAGAGGAACTGACATGGGAACTTGAGTTCGAGAGGTTCGACGCTGAGGAGGTCACCGGAACTCATGACGGAGTAATTGAAGCAGAGAAAGTAGTTGAGTGAATATTCGAGAAAGTGCGGGTTTAGTGTGACGGAGGGAGATCCAGATCGAGAAGAAAATAATTGAAGTTGGGTAAATGCGATTATGATTATGACAGGGATTCGGTTTTTTCTTTTTCTTTTGGTATTCTATTTTTCTCTGTGGTGGAGAAAGTGGCAGTATCAACGTGCGTTGAAACTTATAGAAAAATAAATACAGATATCGGAAAGGTGTTCGAATTCAATATCCCACCACCAAACCAGCAATAAATAAAAAGCTTTTTTAATCCTTTATTTTTTTTCTTTTATTCATTCATGGAATTGTTTCTACTGTATTTCCTAATTTTTGTTTTTTTATTTATTTTTAAACACGAGATGTGATGTGCTAGAAGCATGTTTAATTAAAGTGAGATAAAATATAATAATAAACTTAATATATTTTTCCTTTGTGTCTTTCACCCAGATCTAATCTGATCTTTTAATTTTTTTTAAATCTGTTTTGATTATTGGTTTTTAAAAATATTTTATATTAATTAGGCTTAATTGCAACTTTGATCCACCTATTTTGTGTTTTTTTTAGTTTTGATCCCCCATTTTAAAAACTACGATTTTAGTTCTTTTTTAGGTTTTAAGATTGATATTAGTCCTCTTATCATTTTAAGTCATTGTTTTAATGAGGTGGCGCGATGAATGCTGATGTGGCATTTCCATGTCAGTTAAAATGGTCTTTTTAAATTTAATATAATTTCCATGTCATTAACTTAAATATTATTTCATTTTCACAAATTTAATAAAATAAAACTTAAATAAAAAACCCCATTAATAGGGATATTATTTCATTTTCATCTTCAATTGTAACCCAGTTCTTATAACAAATAAAAAACCTCATTTCTTCACGAACGAAAGAAACCGCAAACCTAGTTCTTCTTCCCATTGTAACCCATTTTCATCTTCCCATTTCTTCAAACCCAGTTCTATATCAAACTGCAACTTGCTTCCCGTCGTCTCTGAAGTGGTAAATATATTTATAACACAATATGTGATCTCTGTTTCAAAAAAGTTGTGATTCAGGGTTGGTAGTGAAAGTCAAGAATCTCACTTGGTTCTCAGTTTCTGCGTGAAGTCTGGATTTTTCATGGATAAATTGATATGGTGAGGCTCCAAATTTCCAGATTAGGTCAATTTGATTTGTATAGTGTTCCAACTCTTTGGTGCATCTTTCTATAAGATCATGAAGTTTAAAAATCGTGTTTGACTGAAGGAGTTCTACGGGATCTTCGGTAAATTGAGTTGTGGGATGGAGAACTTGATCTCTTGTGTGTCTTCCTTCTATACTTGCTGGTCCAAAAATAAGAAGAGACAGTAGAGATTTATCTCCACTAGCCTTGCTCAGGCATTGCTCTTAAACTTGCTTTTTTGTGACCATAAATTCCTTCTATATCTTCCTATCACTCCAAACAGTTGTGGCCTGGAAAACATTCTCGTATGTTTGTTCTTCTCTTTGCATCAATTTTGATCTGCATAACTTGCTCTTTTGTTTTCTTGTTCTCAAACAGTGATGAAGTCAAGCACTTGTAGATACGTATACTTTAGAGCAAATGGTTGGAACATCATACAAGTCAAATCAGTTTTCCCTAAAAGTCTAGATTCTCACATCACATATATATCTCATGATATACCAAATTCATGATTTACTAGGAGACAAAAAGTAAAAAACAGTTACATGGAGAAGCAGTTTGACAGGAGGATGATCCATCAAAACTCTAATATAGCAAGGCCAAACAAATACAACTTAACAGACTGATAGAGACCCAAATTTTGTTGTTATTATTTGTCGAATCTCAAGGTTAATGGTGTTTCAACTGTCACATCTACCATTTTCGCTCCGTCATAGAAGCCATGTTACCAATGTTGTGCTGCAATCACTAGCATACAGTTTTGGCTTGTGTATCTTAATTTTCATGAAGGTTCCAAAGTTGCATATTCAACTACACACACCAAGTGTGATTTGAGCTGCTACAGGGTGAAATATGATAAAATGTAGGCTATGTTCCAAACACAGATTTTGTTCCAAACACAGATTTTGTTCTTCATGATGTGGAGGATGAACAAAAGGAACAATATCTATTTCAACATAGTGAAAAACTTGCAGTTGTTTTTGCACTTATTAGTACACCAAAGTATATATAAGGGTATTTAAGAACCTTCGTGTTTGTGGTGACTGCCATTCGGCGATAAAGTATATATCAACTGTCACTTGAAGAGAGATTGTTCTGAGAGATTCAAACCGGTTTCATCACATCAAGGATGGCAAATGCTCTTGCAATGATTATTGGTAATCCAACCACATGAGTTTCAACTTCTTGGCCTGTAAATTTTGTAGATTTATTCACATTCTTGTTGCTTAGACTGTACAAGTGTTGTGAATGTTGAAGCTTAGCTTTGAACTACTGGCGGATTGTCAATGACAGTCAAATAGAAGCATTTATTTTTCCATCTGTTTTCAGAATGTTGAGACATGATCCTAGTCTTAACTTGGATGTTTTTTTTTAAACAGTCTGTTAATGAAATTTCACCACCACTGCAAAACATCAAAAGCCTGAAATTATACAAAAATGAATATGTTTATATATGAACTTTGTTAACAAAAATGGATTTAACAAAACCTGGCAACAACTAAATAAAAATTGACAAACCTAGTCTAAAAACAGTCATGGATATAAACTACATTGTTGGATCCCAACTCTAACCATCAACAAAATGTAATGCATTTATAGAATCTATTTTTTTTGGTAAAAAATGTTGGAGATATGAAAGCATACTTCTGCTATCAATGATGCCTCTGCTTGCTTTAATCTCACAGTCTCCTCAATGTCCTCCAACTTCTTTCCATAATGATCTATAAGACTATCTTTAGATTCAAAAAGTCCAAGAACACTATAAGATTATCTTTAGATTCAAGATTTAAGAGAAATACGCGTGTCTAAGTTTCATAATTATCAAAATTAAATAGAAATGTATCATATCAAAGTACACATCTAAAGAGTTGCCAGCAAAATCAAGAATATCAATATCTTGTAACTGATTTCCCCAACAGTAGTTCTGGTTGTGTAGTTCTCTCTTTGGTTAGTGGAAATTTCTTGATTCAAAAGTAGTTAGTTCACAAGATACCTTCTATTTTTGAAGTACTAGTCACATTTAAAGAAGAATTTGACACAGTAGTAAAGAACACTTCATAATATATCTGTTATCAAAAATTCATTCATAACAGCAGAAGTTTTGTTTTGGCTCTTGCAACAGAAGTTTAATTAACAGTGAATTACACTTCATAACAGCAGTTCAATTATTATGGATCAAAAACCTGTTGGTAGACTGATGTATCAAACAACAACATTTTATAACAACACTACATAACATAACATTGAAGGTTGATGTATCAAGACTGATGTATCATTACATTGACGGCAGCATTAAAGACAGCATATTTTAACAAAAAGTAAAGCAAAACATAGAACTATTCTTGGGTTGGTGGCGACGCTTGCGACCCTCCGTCTACAACAGTTTCTCCCGCTTCCTTGCCCGACTTGTCACCCTTTTTTTTAGATTTTTTGTTGCCACCTTTAGGAATCGCTCTCTCCGCAACTCGTTTCCCTTTACACGTTCGTTTGTTATGGCCAAAACTCCCACATTTCTTGCACTTGACAGTTTAAAAAGTTCTAGGCAGTGTATTTCTTATCCTCGGTTCATCATTCGCCTTGTTACGATTCTTCTTAGGACGACCGATAGATCTTCGCGTGACTGGAGTGCTGATTGGGTTAGCAACATTAACAGGCCATTGGTTGGCATAATGATATGGCTATAAGTAGCCAGAATAGTAGATTTCCTAGACAATATGACACAATGATTTTAGTTAACGTACAAAAAAGATGAATGTAAATGAACATAATATACGAGTAGGTGATACCTATAAAATGATGAAACATAATCTTCGGACTCCTTCTTGTTATACCATATGCATGCAAATAGCATGACAACATGGTATTCCACTTAAATCCCACTTCCTACAACCACATTTTTGTTGAAGCAAGTTCACAGCATATGTCTCAACACCGTTTGAAACTCCGAATATAGCAAAGTCATCATCTGCATGCCATGTTGCAATCCATCCTTCTGTTGCCCTCTTTGTTTTTTCCAAAACTTTTTGAATGCTAGGATTACAATACCATAAACACTTTATTTTACGATACCCCTCACTCTTTATCAAATCTTCAATTTGCATGTAGGACATCAAGTCCACATCCCAATCCCAATTCATTTCAGTTACAAGCCCATCAACATATAACAAAACTGGATTCTGAATTAAATGTCCCTTATGATGTACTCTAAATCTAACAACTTCGGTATCAGAGGGTCTACAAAACACAAATGACAGTTTCTGAATTAAACCATAGATAAAACCGGGAGTTGATATTAATAATTCATATGCTATGACAGAACACAAACGCCATTTGCATGTTTAGGGTTTTTGTATTCAGAGGTGAGTTACGAAACATACCTCGACACGTAACTTCGGTTTGCCATTTATGAGACGACGGGAAGCGAGCTGCGGTTTGATTTGAAGCGAGTTGCGGTTTGATATAGAACTGGGTTTGAAGAAATGGGAAGATGAAAATGGGTTACAATGGGAAGAATAATTGGGTTTGCGGTTTCTTTCGTTCATGAAGAAATGGGGTTTTTTATTTGTTATAAGAACTGGGTTACAATTGAAGATGAAAATGAAATAATATCCCTATTAATGGGGTTTTTTATTTAAGTTTTATTTTATTAAATTTGTGAAAATGAAATAATATTTAAGTTAATGACATGGAAATTATATTAAATTTAAAAAGATCATTTTAACTAACATGAAAATGCCACATCAGCATTCATCGCGCCACCTCATTAAAACCGTGACTTAAAATGACAAGGGGACTAATATCAATCTTAAAACCTAAAAAAGGACCAAAATCGTGGTTTTTAAAATAGGGATCAAAACTCAAAAAAACACAAAATAGAGGGACCAAAATTACAATTAAGTCTATTAATTATTTCCATTTAATATTAAAGATTATGTCAATTTTCATCAATGTGACAAATAATTGTGTAATATTAACATTTAATAATAAATTTAGTAATAGAAAAAATATCACTAAAATGTATTTTTTATTTATTCGTTAAGTTTTATGTAAAAATAGTAGTTTTCTCTAAATCTTCTTTAGATTTTGTTGATTAGATTGAAAAAACAGTTGCAAGAAGATTGAAATGATAATTAAACTTGAAACATGATAAATTGGTTATATCATGCTAAATTTAGATACTAACAAAATTCATCAAGTGTCGATAAAATGCTTCAAACCATATAGATAGATTTCAGTGTAATAGCCGCAGCAATATAGATAAATTGCAATGAATTAAAAATCTTAATGGAATGGGCAATGAAAAACATTTTAACAATAATTGAGTTTTTTCCTTAACTTATCCTTGAATATTTTCAACCATGGCCATTTTTTAACAATAGTCTTTTTCCATCTTCAGTGTATAGGTAAGGGACACTAGGTTATTGTATACGAATCATAAATATGAGTTGATAAAAGATTTCTTCTTTTAACTATTTTTGTATCACTACAACTTTTTTATAATTACATCGTAAGTAGGTTTGGATCATTTATTTCCCTTGACATAATTTAACTTTAGAATGTTAGGTGAATAAGTATTGTTATGAGTCGTTGTAAGGTTCAAAAAGGCACAGAGGCCTAATACGAGTTAAACATAAAACGACAAGGAAATAGAGAGATGAATATCGTTTCCAATAACATTCAAGTGAACGTAGTCGTGAAGTATATTTTTATTGTTAAAATTTATCTAACGGTCGATAACATTTCACGCTCATGCGTACATTCAGTTGTTAACTAACTCTTTTATTTAAAGGGATGCTCATGTCGTTTCTCAAGTATTAAATCTCTTCATCATTTGAACTATATTTTTATTTTCTTACTGACTTTAGCGTTGGAGTGTTAACCTTGTAGTTCAACCCATATATCCACTGCATTTCAACCTTTTTGATCATCATTTAGTTTTAGAGTAGAACATTGGTGCCTATTATGGAAATTGACATTTGATTTATAAGATTTCCATGATTCAACTGAATCGGATCCGAATCTCATTCAACCAAAGTGTCAAGTTAGGTGAAACCTAGTTTGAAAAACCTTTGCTAAAAAAGAATTAGCAGTTGTACCCCAGCGGATTCTACGAAGACGCTAGAGCATAGGTCATCACGTGATAAAGTGTGTTCAAAGATGAACAGTGATCCAACAGTGTTATCTTGGTTCTTGCGCTTAGACTAGCTCAGGCTCTGATAAAAAACAGACTTCTCCAGAGTTTGTTTTTTAGAGGTTGACTTCTTCAGAGTATGATCTTATAATGTTGACCTCTTTTAGAATATGACTTCTTCAGAGTCAGTTCTTCAGCTTCTAATAAATCAAAATATGCTCTTGTTGGCTGGGATTTTGACACTCATTAATGTTGGAGGTAAGTTAAGAGGTTTCAAAGTCATATTCTGAAGAAGAGCATGATGGATTCGACAGTAAATATTAACAAGGATGTTTCGACGGTAGTAAAGAGTTGGAATGAATTGTTGAAGTTTGAAGATTTATTTTGAGGAACAATGTACGCTTCGACAGGGACATGGTGAAGATCTAGTCAAAGAAGTCTTAGCATAGGAGACGCTGTGATTTAGGACTTGAAAAGATTTTTGCATAAATTAGAGTTCGAAGAAGCCCATTGGAGGAAGTTTTCGACGTATGAAGTTCAAATGAGGTTGGTAACCACTTCTTGGCCTTATCCGTTTCGTGAGACACATGGAAGATTTTTAGGCAACGAAGTGCGTGTAGTGGAGAACGTAGCACATTCTAGAAAAATAATCATTAGATGACGTTATTTTTTATTTAGTATAAATAAGACCTTTAGTATTCAGAATTGGGGTGTTCAAAAATTGTACAAAACTCTATATTATACTCCCAGTACCTGTGTGAGAGAGAAAAGAGTGCTTTTGAGATAATGTGTGTTTGAATACCTTTTGTTTACAATTAAAGCCATTTAAACTTCAGTCATTATCTTTACTTACAATTTTCTTTCTTGTTATTTATCTTCCAAGTCATTTATCTTTCAATTCATCCTTTTGCAATTTACACTCCTTTTCTTACTTAAAAGAAATCACAACGTTGAAACTTAATAACTTTTGATAATACTTGAAGAATATTGTATAAATATTTATAACCATTAAGATCAAGAACTAAATTAACAACACATGTTCTAGGATCAATCTAGTCGATCCTGTAAGTGACCAAAGACTTAGCAACTTTGGAGGACTAGTGGTTGTTTTCTGTTTTCAGTGGTAAATAAATTGGCATGCCTAGTGGGACTGGTGTTGTTAATTAGAATTTGTAGAAATATTTAAAAAGTTCTTCATTTTTTGTTTTTTATAGTTTCGATGCATGAGATTAAGAAGTGGAAAAGTAACCATTAATAACAAGTCAGACCGAGAAGGAGACGTGTACGTGTAATAATGGCTAATCAGCCAAGTAGTAATGAACCGCCCCCTCCTTCGACGGGGGAAACTACAACCAAACATTTGTGGCTGAAGTAGTTCCATCCACAGCAAGTACGACTATAGTATCGTCAAATATGTATAGTGGACCTGTCTTGTCCTCTATAAGAACTGAGGGGAAGTCGTTAACTCCTCCTCTAGTGGGCACTGGTTCATTCAGGCCTTTTTGTGTATGGTTTTATAATGCCCTTAAATGGTAGAAAACAACCATATGTTATGACAACTTCAATGATGGCTAATTTAGATAATGCAACTGCAGTTTTCGACTACCCATTGCTGAATACCTTTTCGCCAGTGCAGAGGTCTGGTTCTGCTGTGAAAAATATGGGTCAAAATAACCCACCCCCAGGGATGGGATTTTCCACCCAGATGCCTAATTTTACTACAAATTCTGCAGCAGTGTTGAGACAACAAATGGACGAAAGTAACCATGATATGGTTCATATGTTGGCCCAGCAAATGGGCACTATATTTAATCCATTGATCTAAAACACCACTCAAACGAATCAGTAATTGCCAACACAGATGACTAGAATTGTATATTTCTTTGGAGTTCCACAAGCCCCTCGACAGATTCAAAGGGATCTGATAGTCAAAAACCAAGGAGCAGTTCTTGAAGAAGACCATACGATTAACCAAGTCCAGCAAAATGGCCCTCGTATTGAGGTGGTTGATCAAAGAGTTATGGTCGAACCTCCTAGGGTCGAACAACCAATTCCAAGAGAACAAGAGCCAGTGGTGGTGATAGTTAATAGGAATCAGAATGCTGACGAAGTCATACATCAGGTTCGAAATGATGGTATGGCTGGAGATAATAATTTGGTTGCCATGGTCGAAAGGATTATGGCGTGAAATGGGGTAAATGTTGGCCTTCATAGGCCAAATTATATCAATCTATTGTCTGATTACATTCTGCAAACTCCTTTGCCTAGGGGATTGAAAGTCCCAAAATTTACAAAGTTTTTAGGAGATGCTAGTGAGTCAACTGTTGAACATGTGGCGAGATACTTAACTGAAGCAGGAGATCTTGCCAATGACGAAAGCTTAAGAGTTAAGTATGTTCCTAGTTTGCTCATTAAAAATACTTTCACATGGTTCACTGCTGTTGCGGTGAGAATAGGATATTAAATTATTAATTAATTTGAATCACAATCTTTGATTCACAACCGGTCTTTGATTTATCCGAAGGAAAAGGTCAAAGAAGGAAAACCCTAATTTTTGCATCGTAAACAATGCGGGGAGAGATCTAGGTAAGGGGTTGGTTAAGCTTAGGAAAGGTGTTAGCGCCCTAAACTTTTGTAGTACTCTACCGGAACCTTTCGTTTAAAGTTTACTATTTTGCTTGATTATTTGCTTGAGGGTATATACTGAGCTAATGGTTAGA